GGCAGCACCGCGACGCCGAGGAAGCCCTGGACAGCTTCGAGGCCCCCGAGAGCCAGGACGATGAGGACAGCGGCGACCTCAAGCGCCTCTGCCTGCAGGAGGACGGGCGCAAGCTGGGCTGGTGGTCCAGCTGGCAGCCCAAGGTCTGGGCGCTCTTCGAAGACCCCTACTCCTCCAAGATGGCCCGGGTGAGTCGGAGGGGGGCGGGGCGTTAGGGACCCCTCCAGACAGGTCGCCCTTAGAGGATCCTCTCCTCCCCACCGCCACTTCTAGTGTGCCTGCTTTGGGGGGTGGGGGGGGAGGCGGGGGGTGGAAAGGGAGCTGAATTCCAGCACATCTGGAGAATGCCCTGCTAGGAAAGGGTCCTCCTTCCACATGCCTGGTCTTTCCCCATCGGTATTTCCTCAGATTCCCTCCCCCCCACCCCCAACCCCATTTAAGGGGAAAATAGACATAGAGTCGGTTCTTGGGACTGTTGCTATGAGCCTGACTCTTCCGTGATTCTATCAGTTTGTTTGCAAAGTAAATGAAGCAGGAGAGCAACCCCCTAGGATTCTGTGGTTATAAACGTAGACCTTAGGCGAGACAATTGGGTGCAAGAGAGGCTCGGAGGAGGAGGAGACGGATGTGTTGGGGTTATCTTTGGTGCAGCACATTCTAGAAGGAAATGTAGCACATTCTAGAGGACTAGTGTCACAAAGAGGGACAAGCTTGAGTTGTGTAAAGGGGAAATGGGGGGAAATCCTATTCCTTCCTCCAAATATAGTCTTAACTTGAATATAGTCCTAGCTCCATGTAGCCCAAAAATGTCCATAGTTATAGCTCTCTAGGACAGCTTTCCCCCACCTGGTACGCTCCGGATGTGTTAAGACTGCAGGTGCCAGAATTGCACTGATGTGTTGACACCACAAAATCAACCCCAGAAGAATTCTTAGGTTGCAGTCCTAACACAGTTGGAGGACACCAAGCTTGAGGAAGGTGCTGTAGTTTCATGTAGGCAAGCATCAAACTCAAGTCCTGTTTTGTAATTTGGCATTGCATGTAAAGTATACACTCTGCAACTAGCTCAGGTTCCAAAGTGAGCTGAAGAAATGGCCCATGAAAAAGGCAACAACTGTTGTTTGATTTTGTAATTGAATCTCGATTCTCTCCACAAGCGGGTCTTTCTGCTTGTGAATCCCGCCCCCTTCCCACAGCATCTTCTGTGCTTGTCCTTGAACCTTGAAATTGCACTCTTAGGAGAAGGTCTGTGTGTGTGTGGGGGGGGGGTGTGATGTGTCAGGAGAGGTGTGAAAAAGACAGAGGGAGGGCTACTTGGGATAAACGCACTTTAGCAGTAGGCATGCAGTGATTTGCTAACTTCTTTCAAATGCTGATTGAGCAGTAACAGACAAAATATGCTCTTAAAGATATAATCTATATATGCAGCACTTGATATGGATGAAAGGATGTGCCAGTTTGGAGGTGTGAGTGGCACTGAATGTGTGTGTGTGGGGGGGATGAAATTATTCTAGGAGGGGGAGGATGCACCAGCTGTATCTCATGCACAAATTTGGACAAATAATGTGGAAAGGAAATGCCCAGAAAGTAAGCAATGGATCAGGATAGGATGCTTAGGGCACTCTTTTTTCAATCTGGAAGCCTTCAGAGAAGTTGGACTACAATTCTCATGACCCCCACACAGCTTCATGAACAGGCTGCCTGGGACAATGGGAACTGTAGTCTGAACACATCAGGGTTAGGGTAATATCTGATAGTGAGAATCGAGCAGATAATCTACCAGGGCAAGGTAGAGCAAGAAGAAATGGATTTGGCAGTGAAAATTAAGCCAAAGCTCCTTGTCTCAAGGAAATAAGGTTGGAGCTTGAGGTTGGATGGTTGTGCCCTAGAGTGGAGAGAGAGAAGGGTGTCTGAGTTTCGGGGGGGGGGGGAGTGTGCTAAAGGCCAAGGGTGGGAAAGGGAGAAGGGGGGGGAAGGAAAAGCACTGAGAAGCACAGAGATAATATGAGGATTGTGGGAGGCAGCAGAAGTAGCTAGCCAAATATATGGTGGGGAGCGAAGACCCTAAGTTGAATGCCACAGGACATCAATGTGTGAATGAAAAGTAGTAATGTGTAGCGGCAGGAGGGCCCTAATATGCATGCTCCAGAGTTATGACTAGCTTCTCAGTGTTAAGAGAGAATGCCTTGGTTCCCCGGAGGAGGTGCTGCTAGCCCGTTTACAAACTCTTTCCTCCTTGTTCCCCACACTCGGCTCTCCTATCAGGTATACCTTCCCTTCTTCTTAAAATCCTCCTGTCCCACACAAAAGTTTGGGCCCCTCGCTCTCACATACCCGTGCAAATCCTTTCCCACAGCCGGGGAGAAGCTTTAGCATTCCTCAGCATTGCAGTTCTGGATTCACTGCTTCCCCCCCTCCCCCCGCCAAGCTGAAACAATGTTCCTCAAAGTGACCCCCTCCATTTCCAAGCACTGCAGTTCAGAACTCCCGGCTCTGCCTGCCCGCCGGCTGGCTGGCTTCCTTGCTTCCGCTCTCTATGCAGAGAAACCCTTTTCCTGGATGGAACAGTTTTGCACAGGGACTCAAGTGGCTACTGCTGACAAGGACCCTCTCCTTCCCGGTCCCCCTTTTTGTATTATTTCTAGGATAGTATTAAAGCTTTGCTGCCTTCTGAATTGCAGAGACAGCAGGTTGGGGGGGGGCACCGCAGTGCAGTGTGGAAACCCCAGAGTTTGCAGTGCAAAGCAGGCATTTGGCAGCCTGTGGCAGCCTGTGGCAGCTTCCCCTCCCTCTCCCCCCACCTCCTTCCCTCCCAGGCAGTGGGTCTCAAAGCTGCAAGCACTGTCAGATATCCTCATCGATCCCCCCCCCTTCTTCCCCCACACAGTTGGGAGCACAGCCAGGAAAAGTTGCAGTGGGAAGGAAGATGAAGAGAGAAAGCAGGAATTTTAGTACTGGAGTGGGGAGTGGGGTGCGCGGATGTGGATGGTAGGAGCCGAGATTATGAGCTGGTGCTGCATTGGGCGGGCATCAAGTCAGGAGTTTCCATAAATGGAGAACAAGTTGGGGGACTATAGATCACCCTCCTTTGTACAACATTGTCCCCCCTCCCGTTGTATTTAAAAAAGATTTGACTTACAGTGTTGGTAGCCCCCACTCACCCAGCCAAGAAAAATAATGGGAATAAGATATGAATACCTACTGTGGAAGGAGACTTTTCATTTGCCTAGCCACCGTTCCTGAAGTATATCTGCATGAAAAGCCTACAGAAAAAAGCTGCAGAGATTGTTTGAGTGGCCCATTTTGAGCATTTCTTCAGTCTTTCTCTCCCCCCCCCTTTCCCTGCACCAACTTTCTGTCATGGTAAAAAGAAAAAAGAAGAGAGTGGACTAGAAAGAGCAGGTAGACAACTAGCTAAAGGAGCAGAACAGAGGTTAGGCAGATAGACAAAACTCTTCTGTAAAAGGTCTGCTCAGTGCCACATTTGCTGAGTTTCCATCTATGAAACACGATGGATATTTTACGGCAATGCACAGGCAGGCTGGAACTTCAAAACTGTATATTTGATAACGCTTATCGGATAGCCGCATCTAACAGCTGGAATACTGAAAAGAAGTTGAGTGTGTACATGGAGAGAACTCCTAGGCAGCTCATAAAGACATGCATATCTGTAGATGGAGCCTTCATCCCCTCCAATTATCAGGTTTTTCACCTCTTTATGTTCTCTCTCTCTCTCTCTCTCTCTCTCTCTCTCTCTCTCTCTCTCTCTCTCTCTCTTTCCTTCCTTCCTTCCTTCCTTCCTTCCTTCCTTTTTTCTTTCTTTTCCTTTCTTCCTTCCTTCCATCCTCCTTCCCTTCCTTTCTTTTGGGGAGTGTTCAATTCTCAAACTTTTAAAATTCCTTTAAAGAATATAGACAAGTTGTTATTTATATCACGCGTGTCCCAGAACTACCTCAGTAAATATATACTTCCACTAGTGTAGGTAAGGGAATAGATTATAGAGCATATTATGCCAGCTGAATTAATTCACAGGCTGTGCATTGCAAATATAAGCATGTTACGCATAGATGGTTCTGTCCCAGGTGCCTGATGGACCCGGAGAGGTTTCTGATGGAGCTTGGGCCATATCCGGAGGATCTAGGTCACGACTCGGCGGAAGATCAGGCTGCGGCCTGGGATGTGGCCGCAGCCGCAGCACTGGACCGAGTCGTGCCGTTGCGGCCTCTGACCCGACGTAGATCTCAATTGGCGCCTTGGTTTACCGAGGAGCTGAGAGAGATGAAACGCCGGAAAAGACG